AATCTAAAACTCAATAATAAATATAAGAAACTTATGATTTTTATTACTAAACTAGGGATTCTAGAAAGCTGCTGTTTTCCATAGAAATTCAGATCTAGAAAATTTATTCACATCTGAAAACTGAAAACGGATTTCATCTTTTAAATTATGAGGGTTACTACAATCTTAATATTGTAAACAATATTTGTATCAGAACAGCACAATACTTACATAAAGAACTGTGAACCATTTGTGTCCTTTCCTCTGTTGGCCATTGAGAGAAGAAATTCTTTGTTGTGCTTTACAGCAAAGCTTTCATCTAACAAAAAAGTGTTTCCAATTATTTTAAAACTTCTAAAATTTTCTCTGCACTATGAGTTAAATGGCATTTAATATAACCTACTAAAAAAGCTTATCCAGACAAATTTGTAACTGTAATAAAAAGTGTATTAAAAATTAGATTTAAAATAATACATCATATCAGATATCAAAGATGATATGCCTTTCTAATTCCATCCGTTAGAATACAAAGATTAATAAGCCAGCATTTTCACTTTTCCATTAAAAGTGTCACTATGGTCTGAAGAATGACTATGAAAAAGTAACCTTCTTATACAACAGATCTGCTTCCTGCCTACACTTAGTTCTGGCAAGATCTGACAATTGAAAAAAAAGTAAGCTTTTACAATTTTTCACACATACAGAACAACATCTTTGAAGAGCAAATGGATTTTTTTTGTTTCTGGGTTTTTAATAACCACTCATGCATATTCAATGACACACTATTTTGATGCAGAATTTTTATTAATTGCAGTGATCCAATTTTGTGGGAAAGTCAAAAAACAGCTTTACTTTCAGATACCAGGGTGACTTTGCATAACTGGCTATTCACAAAGTAAGTAAAACTTAAGCAAGTTTAACGCATTGTCTACACTAGACAATTCTGCCACCAGGGCTAATGACAGAAGTTACACACAAACCAGTATAAATAATTGGAAATTGGTTCAAATCTATAGCACAACAGAAGTTCAGTGCACATAAACCACTTTCAAAATGCCCAAAACTGGTTTAAAATAAACCTGAGTGGATGTACCTATCAGACATAACTGATTTAGGTTTGTAATAGTAAGAGCTTTCTTAAAAGCAAAAGTTTTGCATGCTGATTCCACAGGAGGCCGGTGAAACGGCACATAGCCTCCTGCTTTGTGAGTGTGACCGAGCCATGAACCTAGATAGTAGAACGATGTGATCCAGTGGAATGTGGTAAATACCAGGTGCACTGGATCACAACTCATCCCCATTGTCTTAGCTTGAGATAATGTTGTTTACTTCAAACTATATAAGCTGTGCATTCTTAAATTACTATGGGTTCCTCCATTCTG